GGGGGGGGGGGGGGGGGGGGGGCAGAATCTGTATTTTCTAAACTTTACTTTCTTTCTAGTTTTGTTTCTCCTCTGAAAACTCCTGCAGAAAACCTCCTACCTCTTTTTTTTATATTGTTTTTCCTCCAAAAACAATTTGGATCAAATTTTCTCTAGCAACACTCTTATGAAGGGGTTGCATTGGGTGAACCATACCAATACATGCTGCTTTGTGTTTTCTGTATCTGTTTTCTGCCATCTAGTGACTGTCCAGATTTCTGTGGCCTGGATTTGATAGCCCTAATTATGTATAATTTCCTACCCAGTTGATTAACTGGGACAGTTATAGTCTTATTGGGTGACCTTATTAAGTGACCTACCTAAGTTAACAGCTTTGTGGATTCCTACTTGAGTGTGAAATATGACACTGTATAAGTGGCATATCCCCAAAGGGGGTAGGTACATTAGTTTTTTGGGGATAAAAGTAATAGATTTTAAAGATTTAAAATAGCACACATTAATTTGCATATACTATATGATTTACCCAATGAGTTATTTCAAAATCACAATGAAAGCCTTCCTTGCGGATTATTCTGCTTGGCAGTTTATGTTGGACTTATATGAATTAGTTCTAATGCTCCTACCTCTCCTTTTAGATTCCTTTTAGATATATACTTTCTATTTTGTATCTTTTACCTTTTCATTATTTAGACTCTGATGCATTTTCGGTGCTTCTTAATTGACTGTATCCCACCATCCTTATGTTGGTCTTTGACCTTTATAAAGATTTGATTTGATACGTGAATTAGTCCTTGCACAAACTGATGGAAGGCTAATGAAATATGGAAGCCTCCCCACTTTGGGAGGGAAGTAGTAATAGCATTCTCCAGCAGAGTACCTAAATATTAAAATGATGAGTTGTTTGGTCTGGTTATCTTCTTAGCCTTAGTTTATGACCAGTGAAATGGGAATGTTGTCAGTGTTCAAAGGAATGGAAGTAGAAAGAGAGCTGACACTGGGCAATGATTGACAAAGTTTACAGAGGTAAGTGAGAATGATCAGTAAAGAGGCAACTCTCTCTTTGTTCTTTTTATGTTGTTATAAACCTTAGTACACTGTGTTACTTCCAGACATTGATGTTTGTATAATATGCTTAAAAGTCATTGACATTCTATTATTTAAATATCTTAGAATACTGAGAATAGAAAAGAAAAAGAAAAAAAATATTCTGTCAATGTTAATTAAAATTTAGGATGACAATATTGCAAGTGTAAAACTATTTAGCTTTTTCATCCATAGTTGAGCTTTTTCATCCATTGAAAAAGAACCACTACAAAATAATTATTTAGATGCATTATTCACATCTAAATAATTGTTATATGCTAGAGGTTTTGATCTTAAGCTGATTGCTTATTAAAGTTTCCCTTGTATTGTTACTTAGTGTGCATATAAGTGTATGTGTGCGTATATGTGTGTGGGGGTATATATACACATATGTATGTATACACACACACACATAATAAAAGGAAAAAAATAAACAGAGCAAATTTAATAAGAATTAATTACCAAAAAGAAAAAAAAGAGAAAAAGGAAATTATAAAAAGAAATATTGGGTTTCTGACTCCCCCCTTTTTATACATCTGCTGATTTGCAATATTTGTAGACATTTAGGCCATCTTAGAATCCACACTGTAAGTGATTCTATTTGCCATGCTGCATGATGTGTTGTAGTATGGGAACTTCTTAAATTGAGTTAAACCTCTTAGTTAAACCCCTCCTCTGATCCAGAGGCAACTCTCTTGTCAGAGAGCTGGGATGCTAATGTGGCATGACTGTGAGGCAAGAAATAGAGGAATTGTACCAAGTTAGGACATTTTCCTACTACTAGTGCATTAAAATACAATTGACTTATACTTGAATCAGCGTGTCTCTACTTCCAATCTCTGCCCTGTGTCTATTGCATCTCTTCTGAATTGCTGCTGAATGGGATTGTCCTGATGGCAGGGAATACCACTTGTCATAGGCAAGATGGCTGGTTTTCTCCTCTGCCATCACCTTTCAGCAAGTCACCAGCCTGTTTGTAAACATCTGCCAATCTACCAGGCACTGAAACAGAAAAGAGGTATCCCTGAGTACAGCACTGTGTTTGACTTTTTGGTTTTTTGCCCTCCTTCCACATTCCATTTGGGCATCTCTCAAGTAAAATTGATATGAAATGAAGAAAGATGTGAAAAGAAAGCAGAGGAGAAATAGCCAAAGAGAGGAGGAAGTAGACCCTGCCATGATTATGAAACAAGCTTGGTCCTGTAGAGCAGGAAATCTGAGTCTGACAGCTGTTGGGTAACCACATCTCTTACAGCACTATACTGGAATGGGACTGTGGGGGGACAGGGGCAGGAATGGTGGAAACTGACAAACGTAAGACACCTGGAAATCAGCAACAAAAGTTATCAACATCCTTATTTCCTGGATACTGCAATGAGAAAAATGAGGTTGCTGCTTCTAAAGCTAAAGGTGCATTTCAGAAAACTATTAAAGTGATACAGTGCAAATATGCTCACTCTTCTTCCCCCAAAACAACTGTAGAGTTCTGCTCTCATCTCCTTGTTAGAAAATCAGAGATCAAGTAAGCAAGGAGGGAGGTATGAAAGGAATTCAGATGACAGAGTGCCAGTGGAAGAGGGCAAAAGAAGAGATAGAATGCTGGCTGGTGACCACAGGGGAGGGGGTTGGTCTGCGCCTCCCAGTACTATACTCCCCAAATACTGATTGCTTCTAACAATGGGACAGTCAACAAAGCCTTTTAGATTTTACTTACCTTGAAACTGTGGTGGAGGCAGTATCAACTTAAAGGGTACCCTTTATGGTACCCTTTAATGGGTACACCTAATGGCAACTTCAGGGTGTTTCATCACAGCTTGGAAATGAGGTGAACAAAACAGAACAATTGTGTTGCCAGGGCATGATTGTGCTGGGCTAAGATGCAGGTGGGCACAAGGGCTTAGAGGAAATGTAAAATTCCACCAGGGTGGGGCTTTGTCACATTCACTATTCCAACAAATATGAATTCTAGCTGCATGGTCTCTCCTCACATATACATACAAAGTAAGTAGATGTTTGAAGTAGCCATTAAATTTGTGGAGATAGATTTTATGCTGTGCTGTAATATCCTTACAATATTGCCAAAGCCATATTGCCCATCACTTCCTTCTCCTTTCTCTTAAGTATTCATGCCCCACAGCAGGATTGCTGTTGCTCAGCAGTGGAAGCAGTTGATGGAGATAGGAGCGACTGCATCATCTCTTGCTCTCCCTCTATGATCAGTGTATATGAACGCCATATCTTCACATGATTCTGTTCGTAGTCAACTTCTGAATAGACCACTGGCCTATTATTTACATAGATCTCATCAGCCAGATAGTATTTCCCCTTTCCGATTCTCCTATGAAGTGCATGCCCTGATCCCATTTTCAAACACAATAGTCATGCACAGGTTTCTGTGGGCATCTCCTAGTCTGCAGGCCTATAAAATTAAGGGTCCCCATGATTCACAAAGATACTCTATAAATCATACAGTTGAATAACTTATAGAGAAGGGTTGTGACAGATGACACGGAAGCTTGGTTCAGCTGCACAGCTCCCTCCCCCCACCCTATTACTACCACGATCTGCCTTGTGGAAATAATCACAATAATTAGTTTTAAAACAGCATTTGCAGTTTTTATTTACTACTATTTATATTGCTTGTTACCTGCTTTGGGAGGACCATTGTTCTGAAAAGTAGGAGACCAATAAACAAATAAATAAGCAAACAAAGAAAACTAAACAGTTCAAGGGCGACCTGAGGATTCAGGATGTGGCCCATAAAGCTGAAACTAGATGGAAAACTCATTTCAGTTGTAATTTGGCCTCATGGGCTTTTTTTTTAAGGGCAAGATATTTTCAACACAGGCATGTGTGTCATGCAACCTTATACTCTGTTTCAAAAGGTTGCTTTCAGTTGTACTTCCTCAAATGACCAAGGGAGGAGAAAACCAAGAAAAAGCATATTTCCGGAAAGTCAGAATTAAGCTGCCAGGCAGAGGTTGCTGAAGCCTGGCAGGGAATCCACAGTGCATTAGCCGAGGCAGAGAGGTGAGCTGGAACACAACCCTCCCCCTGCCCACCTCCCCACCACTCAAGTTGCTGCTGAGCTGTTTGACGTGCAGAGCGCTATTAATCCATTGCTCTTTTGGGGTCTTGCAAGGCAAGGGCCTGGAGGAATGTCTCATCTGAGGCAGCTTCGAGATGAGAGGTGAGTCATTTAGGTTCTTTCTCCCGACAGCTTTTCAATGTGCCTTTGCCTCAGGCTCAGTACTTTTTCAAAGTTGGTGTAAGTTGTCCAGATTTGCGGATGCAGCTCCAGTTGCGGTAAGAGAAGAACGTCTGTGTTTGGAGTGTTCTCTTTGTTCTGATTATACAGTACGGTTTCTTCTCTTTTTCTTTCTCAAATGCAGATATGCCAGGCTAGCCTAAGGTATTTTCCTGCTTGAGCTAGAGTAGCAAATGGAAATAGAAATTCTCCTCTCGAATAACTTTGGCACTTGTAGCAGGAAATCCCACAGCCCTGCTCCCTGGTATTAAAGGGATAAAAATAACACAATAATAACTTATCATTGCTACTTCTGGCAATTTTCTGACTTCCTTTAATGATACAGCTGGTCATGCAGAAATACACACACACACACACACACACACAACCACAGCCACACCCATCCCAAGAAAATTATCCACAGGAAGTTGTAGGCAGTCATCCCAACTTAATGTCTACCAGGTGTGCTAGGCTTCATTTCCCATAATTCCCAACCAGAATGGCCAGAAATCCAATATAACTGAAGGGCACCAATTCTGCAATGTCACTATAAGCTTCCAGATGCAGAAGAAATCAGGATTCTTACACAGTTAAGAATCTAAAAGATCTTACAAACCTGATTCATTTATATTATTCTTCAAACAAATAAGCCAGCTATTATTACATAATTTTATTAAACAGAGTTTAAGAGGCAACATGCCACAATGTTATATAATCTGTTCTATCACACAGTGATGTATAGATCTGCTCAATGTTGGTTTCAAACTCCCTTCTTTCCAAAGACTAGTAAAAATCCACTTGATTTTTTACTGTGCTTCTCTCTTTCATGTCTTCTTACCTAAACTTCAGGATTTGTGAGTTATCTTGAATTAAAAATAAGCATTTAAAAATGTATGACCATCAGCATAGGAATGGCTGTCACCTGCACCTCTTCATGTACCTTTTAGTGACTTTGACCAGCTTCCAGATGATGTACCTGTTTCTGCGAATATTGCAGACATTGAAGAGAAGAGAGGTTTCTCCAGTTATTATGTAAGAGAAATATTTTTCTTGTGCACCCTGCTCTATGCTATCCCAGGGATGGGGAGAGTGGAGCTAGAGGAAATCTACTATTTCATAAAAAGGGGCTCTTTAAAGGTGAAATGATTAATTTCACAGGATTGGATTTGACTTTGTAATGACAATGTTTATCATATGGTGGGTATTAGAAATTTTGAGAGATGTACAAAACTCTCTTAAATCTGTAATTGGAGGTAATATCAAACCAGTATTGCTTAAACAAGTTCATAAGTTTCTCCCTCCCCATTGAGATGAGGAGATTGGAAATGTTTTCCTTCATTTTCAGCATTTTCACCTGGACAGTCTGTGCTCACTGTTTGTTAAGTATGATTTAGGGAAAATGGCCCATTTTAAACTATGGTTAAGCTTGTTCACTTAAATCAGTCTTCCCTAAAATGCTGTGCTCTAGATATGTTGGCCTTCACTTCCATGACTTTCAGCCAACATGTCCAGAGAACACATCTGAAGGGTGCTAAATTGGGGAGGATTATTCTCAGCCATAGTTAACATTAATCATAGTTGATTAAAAATGGAAGCAAAATCACTGGGTGGGTTCATACATCATGCTCAACAAAGTTGATCCTTACTACCACCACAACCCACTGGAAATACAAGAGAAAACGTCACCTGATAATCCTGTTTTGCTTCCTCTGCCCCAGTTTGCAAATTGTATACTGGGGAGCAGGGGATGTTCTCCAGCCACAATGCAAATGACTGACCACATGTGCAGGTAAATACTTTTGTCCCAAAGCAGAGGCATATGTGGTGTAATGGCTAAGGTATTGGGCTACACCTGGGGAGAGCCAGGTTCAGGTCCATCCTCAGTCATGAAAACTCACTGATATCTTTGGGCCAGTTATTCTCGGCTCAGCATAACCTCCTGGGATTGCTGTTGTGGAGGTAAAATAAAGGGAAATTCTCATGAAAATTGGTATTTTGAATGACAGGCGGGATATAAATCTAAGGAACAAATTAATAGAAAAATTGAATTTCTGGAGTATTTGGCTGCCTGCAACAAGCTTCCAGCAAGTTCCAAGCAATTCTGTTAGAGTGACAGAAAGGTCTTCAGGAGCAGACACAGGTTTTCACCACATACATTTGCTTTGTTATGAGAGAGCATGATGAACCCGACTATTGTGATTTGTAAACCATAGTTTATGGGTTAAGGCAGTCTTTTCCAATCTGGACACTCATCAGATATGATAGGAACACAAGACTCAGAATTCCTAGCCAGCATATTTCTGCTATGTGGGATTGGCAATTGAGGAGTTGTAGTCTTCAAATATCTGGAATGCACTGATAATCTCTAGCCCAAAAATATCTGGAAGGGACTGATCACCAAACTATGGTTAATAGTCTTAGTATGATATGTGATCCACTATCAATCTTGTTTTGACTGTATTAACAAAAGATAGGAGAAGATAACTATGTGCAACCAAGGTTTATTCATGCAATATATTGAACTATGGTTGAGCATTATTCTGAACCAAGCATTAATTTTCTTACTGTATCATTAGTATTGAATGAAAGCCAAGTTTGGCCCTGTGGAGGAAATTATATAGAAAAGATATTTACATATTTCTATTTTCCTGAATTCCTTTGCTTGTATTAAGGACTTAGGAAGCTTATACTAAATCAGGCTCCCAGTCTGAGACCAGTTCTTCAGCACTTTAGGTAGAAATTTCTTTGAGCAATGCTGTGTTGTCTAAAATTCTTTGAACTGGAGATGTCAAGAATTTTGAATTCTTATTTTCTAGGTATTTGTGATTGAGGTGAAAACAAAAGGCAACAACAGATATATGATATTTCGTCGTTACAGCCAGTTCTATAACTTGCATACCAAGCTGGAAGAAAGATATGGTGCAGAAAATAAAAATAGCAGCTTTACCTGCATGCTTCCTACCCTTCCAGGTAAACCACAAACACCTTTCTGGTCCTACATCTAGATTTCCTTCCTTGGTAATCTGGCAATGAATTGTTCTAAGTGGTTGCATAATAAAAGATTTATAATTGCAGAAGATATTAGGATTACAACAATACAGTGATTCAAATGATGGAGTCCTCTGCCTTTACCGCATGTTTTGAACTCCCAGATATCCCTTGCCATCAGGGATGCTCCCTAATTTGAATATCACTTTTTCAAATCATCGTCATCATCATTATCTTGTAACTATTTGCAATCCTTTTGGGAGTAATTTTTATTGTATTTTTATTTATGTGTTGCTTTTCTGTTCTTTTTTACTTTGTGAGCTGCCTAGAGTCAGTTGGAGTCAGGTGGCATCAAAAATTGAATGAATAAACGAATAAACATAAAAACCTATGATAACCTGGAGATTCTTATGCTTCCCATGTGTTATTGAATGGCTTTTTTGATCAATGTGTCTTATTCTTCTTGGGGGCCATTGTGATGCAGCCTAAGCTGATGCTGGCCCTAATTATGGAGATGGCTAGATGTTCTGAATGAGTGCTTCCAATCCAACTGTCCAAAAGTGTAAGGAATGCTTCACTCCAAGCTAGTCTCTCTCTAATATATGTGCCTCTCCTTAGGGAAGCTTGTAGGTTACAATGCCTGAACAGGGTATGTGATTTTTCCATCTGGGTAAAGTGAACTTTACCCCATCTATTTTCCCCACTTCAATTCTAAATGAAAAGCTGTGTTAAAAAAAATCAGATTCAACCTTACAATTTTATTTGCAGCAGCCAAATATGTACATTTCCACAGGAGGTCCTTCTCTAAGTAGCACTGCGTCAGCCCCCACCCCCCACCAGCCCTAAATTATCTCAGTCTGGATTATATAAACCTCATATGTTTTCAGAAACACAGTTTCCAAGCTGACTTAACCTGTTAAGTCTGCTGTACATGGGTGCACTCCAGGTCCCATCAATTAAATGTCATTTTATGGGTCTCAGGAAGTGTGCCTTCTGTGTTGCAGCCCATGCCCCCTGGGAAAAAACCCCCCCCCCCCCAAGGTATGGAGGACTTCCTCTCTCCTTGGTTTCGTAAGTCTCTTAAGATCTGGCTCCCAGGCCTGGGGTTAGGGTGGCTGTGGAGCCCCTGCTGAGATTTTGCATGTTAGGGAGTATGTTTTGGTCCAGGTAGTATTTAATGTGTTTTTAATCTATGTATTGGACTTATTGTACGCTGCCCAGAGTCTTCTTGGAGTTGGGTGGCTTTAACAAATATCTGTGTCTGTCTCTATCCACACACACACACACACTATCCAGGACATGAATATTTTGTAATAGACCTTTTATCAATGTTAGCTCAAAGACTCTGTTGCCCGATGCAGAACCCAACTATTCACCTCTCCTGTATACCTTACAGTTTATAATGTCTCATTTCACCATTTATAATTCAACTTCTGCCTTTGTCTATCCTGCTATTAAGAAAAATTCATTCTCTCTGCTGCATGACAGAGCCTGTATCTCACGTCATCAGTTCCTGTTCTTTAAAACAGTACCTCCCTTGTTTTATAAAGCACACAGAAATAAGGCATTCTTATGCCTAATAAAGCCCCCAATTCTTTCAGTTCTTTCCGTCAGAGATAAGGATCCTCTGCTGCTCTTGAAACTTAGTTTCTTTTGTTTGTAGAGAATTGGATTTCCTTCACTATGTGTTCTATTTGAAAATATTTTGGTCTTTGCCATCCTATTAAAGCAGTTGTCGATAATATAAATTTAAAACAGGCATTTCATGATTCCAGCACCATAGAAATCATTAGTTCCTTTCACAGAGTTATTGACCTCAGGACTCTCAGAAAGAAGATGCCCAGCATTCTCAGTGAATTGCAGTTTGCATGAGAGAGAACGTGAGAGTTTCATTGGTACTAAAACAATGAGAATTTAAAATGCAATTTGCTATTAGCCCCAACATTCCCCAAAGAAAAAAAGCTCTTCACAGTCAAACTTGCTGATTTTTTTTCTACACATCCCTTCCATGGCAACCCATCCTTAGTTCTCTTCATTGATATTGATGTTTTTCAGGGAAAGTTTATGTTGGTGCAAAGAAGGAGATTGCAGAGAGCCGAGTCCCTATACTCAACATGTACATGAAGGTAAATATTAATTTTAAGGACGGTTTGTTGCTTTGATCATGTAGCTGCTTAATGCAAAACACCGTTAGGGAAAAATCAATTGTTGCACCATGGTGAGCTGAGGAACTGTTCACACATACAATTTAAATTCATCTGCGGTTAGATTTGTCTACAATATGAATGCAAAATACTGTACATTCAGGTAGAAAGATTTGGATTTGATTTTTCATCCATTTTTTCTTACTCATGTCATCTCAAAAGTATAGCTAGACTACTGAACTCTTTCTGTTTTCAATTGTCACAGCTTTCTTCAGAGAATTGTGGGCCTTATTTGGCACGAATACTTAAACGTTTGGTCAGAGATTACTGTCTACCTTTACAGAATTGTATCTGTTATTACTGTAGTTTGTAAGTCAGGGTAGTGGAGTTTACTGTATGACTAACATTTGTTATTAATTTGCCATGTTGAGCCTAAATACTAACATGTGAGAGAAGCTTTTGGATCAGAAACTTTAGGATAGCATGTGAGATATTGCCACTTCTCCTGTAGAAATTGCCTTCTTCCAAATTAATAGACTCAATTTTATATTTTCTTCATTCATTTTGCATCTCTCCACCCTTGAGTCTTTATGGGCTTTTGCACCATGTTCCTCTTGTATATAATTTCAGGTCATTTGTTGCTGTGTGGTCTTGATGACTTTAGTCTACTTGCAACCTATAACATGGCAGGAGAAGGGAAAACTTATAGGAAACGTTTTTTTCTTTCTGCCCTCCATTTCTCTTTGTGGTTGTTCGTTCCTCTGAGCCATTGAACAATTTCTTGTGGGTTTCTTGACCAGTTAGAACCACTTGCCTTTGAAGACTGAATTCTACAACTGCTAAAAGCAGAAATTACTGGAAAAAAATGGTTGCAGATCTGCACACTGAATCAGGAACAGTGGCCCAATTTTTTATGTAGGAATTGTCATCATAAGGACTGAGGCTGTCAGAGCATCCCTTAGCGTTCGAAATGATGTGTAGCACCCCCAATACATTGAAAGTAGTCATTTGAAAAAAATGTTGAAATGTCTTGGTATTGTGGAGGATTTGGCATTTATAAATGTTCATTCAAGTTTTGGATGCCTGGGACATTATACAAGATTACACAATTGCCCGGAAAAGGTTACCCACATCTAGCATCCTATGCAGCCTCTCATTGTCCAAACTTAACCTAATAATGAGAGAATTCCCAATATTAGAGATACTTCTAAGGTTCCCCCTCTCCATTACATCTGGTGATCCTGAGGCAGGGCATTATTACCAAACCTGTTAATCCCACCCACAATGCCAATACAACTATTAGCCACTCCAACCTCTCCAGCAGCCCAACTGGACATCTGGGGGTAGTTGTCAAAAAAGTCAATATGGTGGCATGCAATCAAAGCCTCATCCTTTTTTAAAGGGGCAGGGCTTCAACTGCACAATCGTGGCTGTCATCTTGACTTTCTCGACCCTCTCAGCAGGTGCTCCTAACTTCTTACAGCACTGATAAGAAGGAGCCCTCATTAATGGTGAGCACGTGTCAGGGCTTAAGGAGTAGGGATACTGGCACTTCCCTCTTACATGGAGTGTAGCTGGACCATGAGGGGGGTGTTTGAAACCCCCCAGAAAGATTTCCTCTACTTATAAAATGTCAAGGCAGAAATGTCCATTTCACAACCTGCTCTTTTGTTCATTGACACAGAAGCTGCTTAGCTTGCCAGCCTGGGTATTGCTGGATGAAGATGTCCGCTTATTTTTCTATCAGTCGGACTTTGATAGTGAGCAGAGACCTCAGGGACTGAGGAGGCTTCGCCCTCGCACTCGCCGTGTGTGAGTATGCAACAAACGTACCAGACAGACCTTGCTAACTTGACAAACATTCAGCTGGTTGCAATGCTAATTCTTCACTGATCCCCAGTGGAGCTGGTGAAATATTCTCTCTCTTCTTTATGGTAGCAAGAGCATGAGTCCCCAGGAACCTGGCTTTGACAGATTGGCAGCTCCACGAGTGGAGGTGAGTGCCTCGCTCACTGGGTAGTCTAATGGCATAAAGGTATTTCTCTGAATCTGCCGCTATCCAGCCAGAGGATCCTCTTTCAATAATATAGTTGGAGTTTGTGGGCCAGTAGGAGGAACACACACTTCATCGTTTCTAAT